GAGAGAGAGAGGAGTAGATGATGAGCAGTAGTCAAAGTTATGAGGCTGAATAGTTGAAGGTGTAAATAAGGCGGCAATGATCATAGATATCAGTAAAAATGCAGCAGTAACTTGCTCAAGTAAGTAGGCATGACTCAGGTGGTAATGATCACAGATGCTGCTGTAAGAAAAAGGTTCCTTAGCCGGAGAAGGGAGAGAGAAGTTGAGGTGCAGAAGAGAGAGAGAGAGAGAGAGAGAGAGAGAGAGAGAGAGAGAGAGAGAGAGAGAGAGAGAGAGAGGAAGAGGAAGAGGAGGAAGGAGAAGAGCTAAAGAGAGTGAGAGGGAGGGTGAGTCAGATCGAAGACGCACGTGTTGGTTAGGACTAGATTGACACCAGAAGGGGACCATGGAGTTCTCTCTCAGTTCGACCTCGTTGCAGCGGAAATCTGAGTTTCACGAACGCTTAAAGCCGTATAGGAGACAGATAGATATGCTGTTGCTGCACAACAGATCCAGTAAGATGACTGGTGTATGACTGAAAAGAAGACGAGATGAGAAGGATCTCATGAGCACAGCATGATGAAAGTAGGTGAGGATGGGAGAGAACGAGACATTACAGAGATATTGGAAACCAGGTAGAGGAACAGAAGCAGATTGTCAAGGAATTACACCTCTCAGATCTACCAAACAGACGGAATAGAATGAGCATGGCAACGATCTCGATCTTTTCGTGCACATTATGACCAGAATCATGAGTTGAAGTCGCCGATCAGCATATTGAATCCAAACATGTTTTGAGGGGAACAAAAGGAATAGCCATCTCTCAGTGAGTGCTAACAAAGAGAAAGCAAGGAGAGAGAGAGAGAGAGAGAGAGAGAGAGAGAGAGAGAGAGAGAGAGAGAGAGAGGGGCGGAGGGGAGAGAGATCAGGAAATAGACGAGCCCCACAGCGGAACTGCAGATCCCTCACCGGCACCCGAACCAGAACTGTCGCCACTGAGAGCGGCGGAAGAGGAAGACTCACCTCCGCCATGGACTTGGTCGGAAGCAGTGGGCGCACGCCTCCGCTTCTTCTTTTCGTAGGGGATGCCGCGGGCCTTGGCCTGGCTGTCGCGGACGTCGCGGAGGAAGATGCGGACGGCGCGGGCGGCGAAGGGGTTGGTTTCAGGAGATCCGCCAGACTCCTCGTAGGCGGCGCGGAGGCGGCCGATGAGGGCGTCGAGGGAGCCCCAGGCCTGGCGCAGCGGGCAGGTGCAGGGCGCCGGCGGGCTCGGGTGGCCATAGAAGGCGCACCCGGAGAGGTGCACCTTCGTCTTCCCGAACTGGTCGAGGTAACGTAGGAACTCGATGACATGCGCCCCGCTGCAGCGCGTCAGCACCAGCGGCGGCTTGTGGTTCCGCAGGTACTGCAGGAAGGTGTTCCAGTCGCGCCGCTTCTGCGACTCGTACCTACTCGGCGCCGCCGCCCCCGCCGGTGGACCCGTGTCGCTTCCTCCGGCCCTCGATGGGCCTGCGTCCACTGCGTCCATGCACCGGCTTCCTCTGCTTTTGCTTCCCTTGCACCGCCCTACTCCTTTCACGTCTCTTCGCCTCCCTCCCTCCTTCTCAAAAAGGCAGGGAAGAGAGAGAGAGAGAGAGAGGAGAAGTGAAACAGGAGCGCTCGCTTACTGTGAGAACAGAAGAAGAAGAAGAAGAAGAAGAAGAGAGTTTGGTGTTTCGTCGAACACCTGGCTGGGCAAATCTTGGAGGCAAAAGAAAGAAGAATGGTTGCTTAATGGAAGTCGGGTGATACGTCACATAGTTTGGGTCTTAAATGTCTCGCCCATTTCATTGAAACTTCAATAAATTACGATTAAATATATTTGCTATATTTTCTTTTCCGATATTACCTAATAATTCAACTAAAATTTGCATATATATTTTCATTATCCCAATTGCACTACTTTCCAACAAAAACTAATACACATTTTTCTTGATCTTATAAATGTAATTAGTTTCTCTAAAAAGAAAAAAAAAACATTATCATCGTGTTGAGCCTTTAGGAGCTTCCGTCCATGTAATAGAAGAAGATCATCATCGTGTTCATTTTCGATCTTCGTAAGAAGAGGTAGCAACATATGCGAGGAATCTCCTATTATAACTCAATTTCGAGCTAACGAGATGGTAAGAACGAACTCATGCAAATGACATTATGCAATGAATTAATACTTGTAATTGATGTAGGATGGTGTCGTCACGGCTAACATGATCGATCAATCATCTCCACTAAAGAACTTCGATTTCTACATTCGTCTCTCTCTCTCTCTCTCTATGATATTTGTACTATTATTTTGTGGTGTAAAAAACGGGGCTCTTTGTTTATATATTTACAGTACAATTCAGTCACACGTGAAATAGGACTACTCTTTAGTGATGTTTCATTTCGTACTTGCCATCTTTAAGGTTAATAGTGATATATCTTTTTTTTTTAATTAAATAGAGTTGTGCTAAGTTAAGAGTCATAATATTAAAGTTTCAGATTAATTATAGATTATTTATTATAATTAATAAACTTTTGTATCTCAATCTCTATACTTTCAAAAGTTACATTTAGATCTCTATACTAACGAAAATAAAATACTTAATTTTATTATTTTAATCATATATAGGGATATCAATATTTCAGGGATCGTAATATAGCTCTTGAAAGTGTAGATATTGATATACTTAGAAAAGCTAATTATAAGAGATAATCTATAATCAATTCTAAAATTTCGTACGACAACATTAATATGTTTGAGAAGAAACAAAATATTTAAATAAAATCTTAACCCAAAAATTGATCTTAGTGTTTAGTGTTCATGTGAGTATCTTAGACTAGTGCATGTCTCGATTTGAAATCAAAGTATATAGATTCTGATGAGATAATTGGTTGATAAACTTAAGAAAATGATCAAAATAGGTAAGTCTAAATGAATAAATATGAACTAATAATCATCCTCTCATACTACGCAACTGCGTATGAAATTGAAGTTGGGGCAATGGCAGCGTCTTCTCCGCTGGTACAGTGTGGTTTTGGCACTGCAAACATCCAGAGTACAACTCCACTGAGCCATGACAAGGATAGGATCCTTGCATGCACCTGCACAGGGTGTTGCTCTTGTGACAGCAGCCACTGCAAGGCCAAGGCCAAGGCTCCATCGATGTGCACCAACGCATGCGTCTGTGTCGGCCTTACATGGACCGTGAGACAAGTCCTTGTCCTCCGACCCAAACCGATGATGCCATGCTCTTATGATCATGACATGGCCTGAGCTGCTGCTGACAGTAACAGTAGCCATTGTTGGACTTGCGTGCTCATTGCCATCTGAGACCTAACAGCAGCAACAGTGGCGGGGAGACCCATCAGGGATTCATGCCATGTTATGATCAACAGGATCATAGATCTGCTGCTGGCCCCCATCCATGTGTTGCTTTATGACATGCATATGTAATCCAATTAGTCCCACGTCAGTTTAACTCATGATGTTTGACAAGCATGGTATGCTCATATAAAATATGACATGTTATGATCCACTTGCACAAAATTGGATCGTTTTCTTGTTGTGTCACAATTGTTGCGTGATGTGCGATATTAAATGCCAAACATTTGAGTACTCTATAAATCTTATTTGATAAGAAATTATAGGATGATCGACACATTTTGGATGATAATTATATTATGTAACACCAAATATCAGCTATCTATCTCAATGCCGTATAATCTCTCTAAGTGGTACAAAGTTAGATATGATTAGTAATAAAAAGATTATCATATTATTATGCAAACGAAAATTAATTCATTTGGACTTCATACGTACACATTAATGCAGTTGTGGTATAATACCATACAAATGTCTACAACCCAGCATCATGAAAACTAGATAGAGCTCTCGGTAATAGGATGATCGCATGACCTATTTCACTTTGCATCTTTGCTTGTCACATCCGATATCTGTTTGGTTTGTTCTTGGCCAATTAAATTTGAAGTTATCAGTTAACCTAACTAGTAAAGACCTTATCTATTTATCTTTTGAAAAAAAAATATATATATAAATAACTAGCATATTTATTTGGCGTTGTTGTACTATATTTTATTGTCATTATCAAGAAATAATATTTTTCTAGGCAAACCCTTTGACTTATCTTTCTATGATTGATGCAGAGGCACCCATCTAGTGTAATAGTTACTCACACTATTAAATAATTTTGAAAAAAATAAAAATAAACCCCAAATATCTAAACCCCACCATGCAAAGGGCCAAGTTGAGTCAAGTGAGTTTGAACTATTATCTATCACAATGTTGGACATATTCTATAGCATCCTGTCTAAGGGTTGGCCAATAATATTCTTGACGGAGAACCTTGAATGCTAAGGATCTCTTCCCAATGTGCTCTCCATAGGTCTCTTTATGGATCCTAGATAATACATGAGATGTTTCAACAGAGAGTGCAGATAGTGTAGGAATGGTCGTGATCCATCGACATGGAGAGTCCAATAATAAAGCTCTTTTAATGAAAGTCATCTATGCTATAAAGTCTCTTAAGGCTTGAGCTTTGATAGTAATTCATGGCTTGTAGGAGATATCAAATTTGTTAAGCTCTATTGTCTATTTGAGGAGTCGCCTGGTGGCATTAGAGAGGATCTGACATATTGGTTGGTCCATTATGATAATGACATGATAGGTCTGAAAGTATGGCCAGAGTTTTCTTATGATTAACACTAGTCCATAAGTCAACTTTTCAAGGTTAGGATACTGAGTGTCTATCTCATGAAGTACGTTGCTGATGTAGTTTACTAGTTTGTCTTCTTTCCGAATTAGCAATAAGCTACAACCATAGGCATTATTACCGAGTATAACTATAACTCTTCTCCAAGAAGAGGCATAGAGAATTGGGATAGAGTTGCTCGATAAGTTTTGAGTTGGTCAAACATTATTTGGTATATCTCGGTCCATTGCAAGTCCTTGGTCGCTTTAGTATCCTAAAAATTAGTAAGCACTGAGTGCTTGTTCCAGATAAGAACCGATTGAGCACAACTTTGGATCTCTTTGATTGAGATTGGGGCTTTCATAGTAATAATAGCTTGGATTTTCTTGGGAATTGTATCTATTTCCAATTGGTGGATCGTGAAGCTAAGAAATTTTTAGAACTTTTGTCAAAGGTGCAATTGGCGGAGTTCAGTCGCATCTGAAACTTCTTGATAGTTGCTAACGTTTCTCCCAAGTCACGTAGATTAGTTTCTGTGGTGTATAACTTTTTACTAGCATATCATCTACATATACCTTTATGTTCTATCTAATCTTATATTAAAATATTTTATTGACCATCATTTGATAAGTCACTCATACATTTTTTAGTTCAAATGATATGACTTTATAATAGTACAAGCTGCTATCAGTAATAAAAGTACTGTGTTCAGAGAAATCATCAATAAAAGTTAGTAGTTGGTGACCAAGTTAAATTAACCAACTGATTAATTCAACAAAAGGGGAAGCTATCATTGCTTTGATGAAATCATTGAATCAATACGTATTTTTCATTTTTCATTACTTTTCTTGATGAGAACTACATTAGTGATAAACTGCATGATGCTTTATTAACTTCATGATGAGAACTACGATAGTGGACTTAGAAGTTAGTATACAAGAGTTTATTAACTTCTTCTAAAACCACCATGTCTGTCTAGAGCAAATCTTCTATGCTATTGATAAACTGCATGATGCTTTGGGTTAATATCGGAGTCCGTTGATGTATGCATTGATAGGGACAATGGGAATCTGGCCACCGATCAGGTGAATCTCATCATTAAACCTTCTTGTATAGCTCTCCAAATTTTTTTTTTTTTCTCTATGAATGTCATAATATGCTGAGGGCTTAGACTTTTCATAATAAATATTGAGTATTGAAAACCAAAAGTCTATGGAAATGGGCTTCTCACTAATGCTTTTTATGAAAGAGGATCATAAATATGATTCCACCTTTGGTTCGCTTGCTTGATTTCTTTCTAGATATCTTTCAACCATTGATCCATCCTATTAATATGATCGATCGAATGAACAATCGATTCGGTAGGAGTTTTCAGTTTTGGCGAAGGGACAGGAAGATCGTTGACTGCATGGAGCAGTCGTATCTAGCGAGAGCCGACACGTTGGCACTTGAGGTTGACATGTCGACCATCTCATTTGTACCATATTAGTTTCTATATATTAGGTTTTGAGTCAAATATATTACTCATATATAAGAAAATAATGAAAAGTCACTATCAATTCGAGTGTTGGATTTAATTTATTACGTAAAACTAATTATTAGAGTTGAGGTTCAAAATCAACGCAAGTTTCATATATTGGGTTTGGGATCGAAGGAAGGTGTTGGTTTGATCAATCGGCCAATCTACAACATCCATATTTGCATTAATTGTCCTCGAAAAAGGTCTCATATAAGTACCAATCGATCGATTCAGTTTCACGAGGAGCTTCATCGATCGATCGATATGTCACCCATGCATGGAATGATTGCCGGATCATTAGCACATATTTATATTTATTACAAGTAGTATACATGATATAATTCTTTATGTGATATAATAATTGGTGTGAAGTAGATAAATTAATATTATCTACATTAAACATATAATATATCTACATTTCAACATGAAATAGAAGAAGAAGAATACAGACCTACCTTTGTGGTGTTGAATAATGCAACATGAAAGATTGACGATTACCATTGAATAGATGCAAAATAATCATTGGATTTTACACCCTTCTTTGATTTTTGAATTAAAAAAATGTACACCTAAAATGTCTAGTAAAGACGTACCAAACTCATTTATTAATGATTCACGATTCACAACCTTAATCAATATATTTTAAACGATGTATTAATGATATACGAGATCTATGTATTGAGGACTGAAAGCTTGAAAGCTCGAAAGCTCATCCAATAAACCTTAAATGTGCTAATGTGAGTATTTAAAGAATAGGTGTTTAATGATAAAATTAAAATATAAAATTAACTTAAAAATAATTAATTACATTATTTTTTTTATCTCTTAGATTTTTTTCGAGAGGTAATAAAAGAGATATTTCTTATTTTCCATAGGCTTGTCTTATAGTAATATTTGTATTTAATAAAGACAGACTGACAACAACAAAGTGGCTGTAGTTTAGTGGTAAGAATTCCACGTTGTGGCCGTGGAGACCTGGGCTCGAATCCCAGCAGCCACAATTTTTACCGAGTTACTAATTTTTAATTATTAGTACGATAATGTTTTCTTTATTTTAATAATATCTCTTTTATAAATAGATATAAATGCCTTCGTAATCTTTCTATTTTTCCTCCTCCTCCTCCTAATCACAGTGATGAGCGACGATCAACGACAAATGATATTGACGATGCTAGATGGACGTAAAAGCTTTCATCATCTTTCTTTTAGTCGTGAGCCGCATCGAGAAAGTATCGACCGATAAGAAAGAAATAATACGGAACAATAGACAAGGAAAGAGAAATGAGTGCATTAAGAGATTATGGATAACAAAAGGGTAAGATTGATAGATTAATAAAATTATATGTTATTATTTTAAAAAAAGATTATAATAAAAAATAGATTGCCAATAATAAATAAATTAGGTTGTCAATAATAAGCTTCAAATAAAAAACAGATTAAAAGAAGTTAGAATAGATTGAAATAAGTTAGTGCATTCTATTGAATCAATCTGACCGTATGACTTGTCTAAATGTCTTACTCGTGATGACGTGACCTTCGAAGGTGCGCACAATTACTCTCCATCATAATTTCTCTATTAGATGTCCATTATAATTTCACTGGCAAAAAAAAAGTAGAGGCACAATGACTCACTCTCCCATCAACAAAAAGACAATCCAAACAGTAGATGAAAGAAATTAGTAGGAAGAAACACTTCAACTGTGCCGTAAAAGTACTGCAGTAAACCCACCACACCACAAACACAACAATCAACTTTTACACGCACCCCATCTTCTTCTTCCCTCCCCTTTCAATTACTCTCTCTCTCTCTCT